AACATTCACTGGGAGCATAGAAAGTTTTTTTTTTTTAAGGGAACATACCTCTGCCTTTCTAGCGTTTCAAAATGTTGAGAGAAATGAAACTAGTTCAAGCATTATGCATACTGTCGACCAGGGATGGGGAACTATGACCCTTTTATGAGCTGTGGCTTCAACTCCCAGAATTCCTGAGCCAGCTATAGTTTTCCCGTCTCTGCTGTAGACCACCCTAGTTCTAGATCAGTGTTTCTCAACCTTGACAATTTTAAGGCATATGGACTTCAATTCCCAAAATTCCACAGCCAGCATTGCTGGCTGTGGAATTCTGGGAGTTGAAGTCCACATGCCTTAAAATTGTCAAGGTTGAGAAACACTGTTCTAGATGTATTGAGACACCAGTTTCCAACAAACATGGCCTTTGACCTTGCTGGTTGGGAGTTCTGGGTGTTTCTGTACCCACGTATATGAAGAGTGCCAGATTGAAATAAGAAATGGCTATCAAATATGACTGCAAACAGAGGTACAAGAAAAAGCTTTTTTGCTGCCATGTATGCAGTCCAGCTATGGTAATCCTAGATATGCTCCAGGTTTCTTTGTCTCTGCATTATGTGTTGATAGGAGAGGCTGCATACATATGTTTATGTAAGAGCAAGAAGCATGATCAGACAACATTCCTGAAACTCTAAATCCATATATCCCCATACTCAGAGGCCCATGTACACAGGCTTTCATGTCACAGGCAGTCCTCGACTTACAATAGTTCAAAGTTACAATGGCACTGAAAAAAGTGACTTATGGCCATTTTTCACATTTATGACTGTTGCAGCACCCCACATGGTCACATGATCAAAAGTCAGATGCTTGGCCACTGACTCATATTTATGACAGTTGCAGGGTCCTGGGGTCATGCGATCCCCTTTTTGTGACCTTCTGACAAGCAAAGTCAATGGGAAAGCCAGATTCACTTAACAACCATGTTATTAATTTGATGACTGCAGTGATTCACTTAACAACCGTGGCAAGAAAGGTTGTAAAATGGGGCAAAATTCACTTCACAACTGTCTTGCTTAGCAACAGAATTTTTAGTCAATTGTGGTCGTAAGTCGAGGACTATCTGTACATACATCCATGTTCAGCAAAACAGTGGCTGCACTTGCTGTTCCTTTTAATTGTATCGAAGTTATATGAAGGAAATCCTGTAAAATCAATATCCTCGAACAGGAAAACAACAAACAAACCGGCATCTCAAGAGTTATTTTCAGATAAACTAATGCCATTTCAAAAAAATGAGAAAAAAACAGTTTTTGAATTATATGGAAAGGCTTTGTACAAAGTTATTTGGCTAAAATTGTTTCCCCATTTTGTCTAAAATAATGTTTTGACTCCATCCTAGTTTATATCTTCTAGATTTGAGCCTATTATATTTTTAATTCAACCTCAATTAGCACTTATTAATATCAAGTATTAATATTACAAATCGCTATTGTAAAATTAAAGAGCAGCTATTATGAGAACAAAGCATAAATAAAAACTCGGAAACAATGTATTGCAGCGTCTACAAAGTGTGGTTTCACCCTCATATTCAAAGAATATTACCATTTCCAATAATAAAGGGTTTTTTTACTACACTTTTAGTAACCGTGATGCCTTGAGATAGCCTAAAGAAAAGGAACACTAAACATAAGTCATTCCTGCTTTATCTATACCTCAGCGAAGTCACAGGCAGTTAAGCTTTACAAGTACACAAAAGCCCTAAGGTCTGGAACAACGCTGTCAAATTCATATTCCAGTTCTCATGACATAGTATTGTAAAAGGATGCTGTCAGTACTAAAAAGGCAAAAATATTTTCCTATTGAACGGGAAAATGAGAAAGCTTTACTCACACAAAAGCGTTATCTGAAATCTAGAATTCAATGAACTCCTTATATTTCAAGATAATTAGTGATTGTATAGAAAGTGCCCATTAATCTGTTACTTTTTGAAATGTACTGCAGACAATCTCAATGCAACAGTTACATTTGACTCCCTTATGACAGATATTCTGGTCAATTTAGATAATGCTGTATTTGTGGACTTAAAAAGATCAGAGTTTTTGTGATTAATAAAATGACACATATTAAAATTGATTCTAATGCATCTACCTGTTGCACAACTTTTGGCTCCATAAATTATTCTCAAATCCTGGGGATGAAGGGATGCTAGGGCCAACACAAATATCGAGATGCATCTCCATTTTTTTTGCCTGTGTTAGAATGTCCCTAATGATCTGGAAGTAGCAAATCAGAAATGAAGATTTAAAAACAACAAAAATGGGCATTAGTAATTGAAAGAGATTGATGATTTGACCAAAGAGTGAGCTGGGAAACATCCTTGTCTGTGAAAGATCTCAAATTCATCCACTTTCACAACTGGCTTCTGCAACAGTCCAAAGATTCTCCTTTTATATCAATTTTAAAATAAATGGAGTCCCCCATCTTTTTTTTTAAAGCATATATTAAATATTTTGATTAGCAATGCTCTATGTTCTTGCTTAGACCTTATTTTCTTATTTTCTGAGCAGACATGTACAGCAGAGGTTCCCAACTCCCGATATGTGGACAGGCACTCGTCCATGGTATGCAGGCAGCACGCAAAACCACACCTCCTCTGGTCCACAGAAAAACCTTTCTCCACGGAACCGGTCCCTGGTGCCCAAAAGATTGGGGGCCGCTGATGTATAGGATTACCTCACACATGAATAATTATCTGTCGTCCCTTTCTTCTATTGCCCTCAATCTTTCCCAACATTAGGCCCTTCTCCAGTGAGTCCTTCCTTCTCATTAGGTGGCCAAAGTACTTGAGTTTCAACTTCAGGATCTGGCCTTCTAACGAGCAGTCGGGGTTGATCTCCTCTAGGACTGACCGGTTTGAACGCTTTGCAGTCCAAGGGACTCGCAGGAATCTTTTCCAGCATCATAGTTCAAAGGCCTCAATTCTTTGTCGCTCAGCCTTTCTTATGGTCCAACTTTCACATCCGTACGTTGCAACTGGGAAAACCATGGCCTTGATTATACGCACTTTTGTTGGCAGGGTGATGTCTCTACTTTTTAGTATGCTGTCTAGATTTGCCATAGCTTTGCTCCCCAGGAGCAAGTGTCTTTTAATTTCTTGGCTGCAGTCCCCATCTGAGGTGATCTTGGAGCCCAGGAAAATAAAATCTGCCTAAAATTAGCACCTAGCAAATATTGCAACAGACAACTAAAGCTATAAAAGCATTTAAACACTGATTAGCTTTTCAAGCAAGAAAATTTTTTCTTGAGTACCCTGTTCATTTTTTTCAACTACTCTCTCTTCTCTGAAAAGCGTGGCTAGCCTGCAATTACCTTGCTTTTATCAGTTTATTAGCCTTTTTTTTCTGAAAGAGAACATTACCAAAGGACCTCACTCCTGAAAGAAAACATATTTTTTTTTCCCTTCCTTTCCCCACAATTCTGAATTTTATATTTGGGCTACAGATGTTTTGATCTGTTGCTGCCATGGGATTAATAAATATTGCTAATTTAAATATGCAAACCCAGCGTTTTGATATATTCGATGCAAAACATGGCCTCAAATGATTGATGGGAGAACTAATAACGAGATTAAAAGCAGAGTGCAAATTTTGTTTATGAGATATAGTAGGTGGTCTGAGTCTGGCAAACGTTGGATGATGAACAGCAGCAAGGGCCAAGTGGTTATGAAAGGCTGCAGTGAAAAGAATTCCTTCAGTGAAAACGGAAACTCCTTAATAAAAAAAAACTTTAATTAAAACAGGGGAAATGTTGCTGCTGGATAGCTTGCAAAAAGAATTGGTAACCCTGACTACCTCTCAAAAGAATTGTATTAAAGTGATTTCTGAATCTGAATGGTTGCCAGCATCTGGGTTTGGGGGATTTTGCAGTGAATCATTTAGTCTGATTCATCCCCAAGGACATTTTTCTACTGGGATGAGAAATAGGTATAATGTACAATCCAGTAGCAACAACGATGTAATTAAAAATGTGTTGAGATCAGATAGGAGTTACTACCTAATAACTGAATTAAGAGATGTTTCTGTATTATTTGTCCCTTGCTACCTCTAATAAAAGTAGTTGCTTTATTTAATTTTACCACAATGTCACAAGAATCGCTTTATAATGAATCATCTAGCTCAGATTTGGAGACTTCTGATGCTCCAGGTGCTTTCTTCTAGATCTCTGCTCTTGAGTCAGCAAGTCTTGAATCCTGTTTTACACTGTTTAGGAGGTAGACTGCAATAAATATTTCAGATGAATCCATGGAGTAGGATAAAAAAGCACTATTGACTTCCAAGCGTTCCAAAAGCATTTCCATAGAAGAAAAAAAAGTATATGAAGTTTGGCCAAGCTTGGCCTGTCATAATATATTTCCAAACTTAAATATCTAGGTCTAAATTATAATTATTTAAAATCTGATATCAAAAAAAATTGCACTTCTCGCTGAGCTACAGTCCTATCCTATGGGTGATTTTTGCATGTGATAATACATGGAAGAACAGCAGAGACAAACCTTCCTTCCATGAGTATAACCTAAATTAATTCTATCTAGGATTCTATTGCTTTTGTTTTCTAAAGTAAGTTTTTATTTTTTAAAAAAAATCTTTGATGGTCAAGCTTCCAGGAATATTATTGCACTGTTCATTCAATATGGCGTGAATTTATGGATTCTTCAATTGTAGAGATTTTTCAGATTTTTGGCAGCAGTGCAGCATCTGATTTTGAATGGCAGCTACTAGAATCCAATAGCTACCAGCTGTTGGCTGAAGTCCTCAGTCTTCACATCTGTTAAGCACTAACTCCACTGCTCATCATTTCTACCATACTTATGAAATAACATCAACAATCCCAAATTCCTGGCAAAAATACAGCAAAATCTGCAGATAGATTTACTTTAAATTGAACACCTTTGTCTTCTCTCCTAAATATATGAAGTATTTTCTGGGTACAGAATCTGATATTTGTACGTCCAAAATGAGACTTTCTTTGCCACGTGCCGTGCACTCCTGACTCAGCTTGAGTACAAGGTTTACCAAGGTCTATGCTCACCCACTGAAATCAAGCCTCTGAATGATACCTGTCAGCCAGCCAGAGCCATAATGAGACTGGCACACATTTCAAAGAAATCCATTGTATGGCTCCCAAGGCGTGGGGTCACAGAGGACATGCTCCCAGTCAAAGAGCCAGTAGGGGACCCAGAAAGTGACTGGCAATCAACAGTGGCGGAGTCAAGACTTAGTCTTGGTCTGTGCAAACGAGCTGCTGAGCTTGAGCGTTGAGGTGTAGAAGAGCCCGATCTTTGTTCCACGACATCATCTTAAAAATACAGAGAAATGATTTAAAGCAACATCTTGAGCTGGCAGGAGGCTAAAGTTTCCCTCTACTCTTCTGTTTTACTCCTAGTTTACCTTTTATGATGCTGGGCAACTCACCTAACAAAGGCTGGTTTGAAGAATAGACTGAGGTAAGCTCCTGCTCTTATTTTATACCTCTTTCTACTCATGATCATCCTCACCATCATCACCCTCCTCCTCCTCATCATCATCACCATCATCATCCCCATTTCCATGAAATGGAAGCAGCTTCTACCAGCGGCTTCCTACACAATCTCCAAACATCTCAGTCAATAGTCTCCTGTAATTCCCCATTCTCTCTGTAAAGTCCTAGACTTCTAATGTCTTCTTGAAAGAAGGAGAAGGAACAATTACTTATGCAGCATTTCTATGCTGCATAAGTAATTGTTTTAATTGCATTGCTACTCTTATTTCTTTCAAGTCATGCTTTTCTTCAAATATTTCACCATAATTATGCCTCTTTTATGCTGTCTGTGGAGATTCTCAGTCATCCAGGTCACGGTTGTGTCAAAGGTGCTTTTTCAAGAGGCAACTGGATGTTCTTGTTTTTCTTTGAAGACGTTTCGCTTGAAGAAGCTTCTTGGATGAAAGTCCAGTTGCCTCTTGAAAAAGCACCTTTGAGACCACTTTTATGCTCTTCACTATTCTAGAAACCTGACCCTTTCCCTTCACCTTAAGTGGCTTGTAGCTGTCTTCAAAACTACTGACAGCTATCTCAACTTCAATCCCAATCTCAAGCAAAATGTTACATGTCCAAGAATAAAATCATACATGCATTTTCCATTAAGTTCAGAGTCACCTCAGATAAATCAGTGTCTTTCAAACTAGGCAGCTTTAAGATGTATGGACTTTAATTCCCAGAATTCCCTAGCAGCACGCAGGGTTGCCCAATTGCCAAGTTTGAAAAATACTGAGATAACTCATATAAGAGTATGACTTTGCTTTAATTTATAAATAGTTACTGAAACTGGACTGAATTTTCACAAATTTTGATCACTAGTTTACAAGTCTGGGAAAGTAGTGTGTATATCTTTTATGAATCAATTTTATGAGCAAACTGTATGCATAAACATTTCTCTAATTTGTTTTAGCATCTAGAGTTTAGACATCTCACTGCATCCAAGAATGTGGGAAAATCACAAAGGGTAAAAAGAAAACCAAGGAATTGAGGTGTTTTTTGGAGATAATGAACTGAAAGTGATACTAATGATATAGTTTCAACTAACAGAAACAAGAATAATGGAATCATCTGGGGTAGGGGGGTGGGGGGAAAGGAAATTCATCACTTGTGGAGAAAATGCTGTTAGGGGTTCAGAAATGGTCTGTGATCAGAAAAGGCTTGCAAGAATATTTCCTGCTGAGGGATTATTATGAATCTTGCAAGAAGCAGAAATCTTTCTTTTTACCCACATGTGTCATTAATCTGTCACAGTTAATACCAAGTGATGAGAAATGGACTGAAGAAGTGTTGCTAAACAACAATTGTTCTGACTAGTAGAATCACAAAGTAGGTATAAAGTGTGATGGGGGGAAAGAGAAGAGAGAGCTATTTTGAGGTTGTTGGTTTTTTTTTTAGTCTTCCTTCAAGCTTGGAAGTATTTCTGCAGTATTTCCTACATACCATCGATGCTTTTAAAGTCCAAGAGATAGCTGCGACTGTCCACCTGATACAGCTGCAAACTCATTTTCATGTAATTTCCTGTAACTGGATTTTTTCTACGCACCCGAAGATGATAGGCATTCACCACCTAAACACATAATCACCATTTGAGAAAAACATAATTGTGGAAAAGGAAAAAGAATTTTAATTTCGTATTTCAAAAAAACAATTTCACACAAAACGAAGGAATGTAATCTCAGACATTTCTCTTCTGTAATATATCCAGTTCAGTTCAGTGGCATATGCCTTTCAGGAAACTGAAAAATGCATCTTAACTTAGTTTAATCTCAGTGCCACAGTTTGAGAAAAAATATAAATAGGATTTTCCATAATTCCGCAAAAAACTATCAAATAACATTTCCCTAGAGATTTTATAAAAGTCTCTTAACAGAACCTTCTTTCGATTTCTTAACATTAGCATTTTCTGTTCTAGGCATTGCTAGTATAGATTAGAGACAATGAAAGATAGTTGAGAAAGATAAGTCATTTATTCTACGTGAAAATTCTCCAACCAGCTTGCTTAATTATAGCTTTGTTCATACAGGAACTTTAGCAAGTTGCCACCCTGCATTGAGATACATGTTGTTGGGAGATGGATGGTTTAGAAATTTGATAGATGATAGACAGACAGACAGACAGAGAGACAGAGAAAGAGACAGACAGACGATAGATTAGATTAGATTAGATTAGATTAGATTAGATAGATAGATAGATAGATAGATAGATAGATAGATAGATAGATAGATAGATAGATAGATAGATAGATAGATAGATAGATAGATAGATAGATAGATAGATAGATAATAAAAAGTTAAGCTTTCCTGGACAGATTATGGATTTTAAGACTTAGCTCTCTAGGAAGAAAAACTGCATACCAAAATGTAAAATATTACTCGGGGGCAGTCTGTATGTGCTATTAAATATTATCCTACAGGGGAGAAAGTCAGGATGAACAGAGATGAAGAAATATGCTGCCTCTGCTCAGGCTCTCTGTCCATGAAATTTTAATCAATTAGACAATATGTTTAAGTTATATTTGAGCTTTATTCCCATGTGATACATGGCATATATAATTTTCAACATATAAAGAGCCTGATTCTTCATCAGAAGCTTTCAATGAACATATATAAAAACTATAGAAAAGGGATTCTTTTCCACTGCATTTATCAGGCAGTGGAACACAAATGCTAGTGAATGGATTGGCCATCTCGTCTGTAGAAGCTGCAATGGTTGGAAATCCAGGTCAGCTGCTAAATTCCTGGGTTGTGATCATGTGACCTTGGAGGTCCTGCGATGGTCAGAATTTTGAGGACACTTTCAAAGGTAGCATTCACATGCTTTAAATTAAAAGGTACATAAGTACATAAAATTCATGGATTACTCATCTGAAAAGCTTTCAAGAGCCACATGGCACTGCTATTCTTACCTTCCACTCAAAATCCAGATGTTTCATGGCCCGATAAACTTCAGCCATGATATCGTAAGGCTTGCTTTGACTTCGTATTCCTAAATGCCACTTGGCTTTTTTCACAGTCAATGATTTTGGCTTAGTGGTGTTCAATGCATCCAAAGAGCTTTTTGCTTTGGGACTATCTGCAACTAGAGGAGGCATTCTTTCTGGATGAGGTTTCACTCCTGGGGGGATATGCATAGAGTCATCCATAAAAGAGCCACTGGGTGGGCTGGAAGCGAGGTAGAACTCACTGGCCTGATTCATGATTCGCCTGTTGTCAATGATCAGGTGATAAGCTACCGCAAGCTGGTCTTGAGGATCTCCACTGTACAAACTGGCCATCACTTCTGACTCGGTGCATTCAAATTTCTCACAAACTTCCCTCACAGCATCATCATCCATGACATTGGCATCATATGATGGATCTTCTGGGAACAAATAACTGGGCAGATCTTGTTTGAACCATTCGTGCTCTCTAGAAGAAAATAAAAATGTTACTCGTTACAATAATGCCGTTTTTAATAGTGTATTAAAATCTCTTTCAATCTCCCAAATGTTTTTCATCATGTAATGTAACTTTTCAGAGCATTTGGGGCAATTGGAAAGTCTTTTTGAGATTACTTGATTGTGGTGAGTAGCAAAAGTGCTATTGTTGTAGTACTTCTACTTATTATTATCACATTATCAGATATAATATCCCATATAGTATGTCCAAACTTTCTTATATGAAAAGGTTTCTGCCTAAGGTCTCCCATGAGAATTTAACTGAACAATGAAAACCCAGAAATACTGTAGAATGCTGGAAAGGTGACTATATATATATGAAATAAAATAAGGTGATCACCAGGATAAAATCATAAACACAAATATTTAATCTACAAAACCAAGCTTTTGTCGGCCACACTACCGATATCGTCAGGGTATAAAATGCTGTATCCGGGAGTCCGTTTTTATGTGGCTGGCTGCCTCTGCACTTTGACCCTGGATCGTTTTTAAAGTTGTCCTCTCTTCTCCAATTGCTGTTGGCGTGTCTTGTGAATGACTCGGCAATAGAATTACAGCCCCGATCAACGGGAGAACAGGTGAGTAATAGCGAGCGCAAACGGGATGGGTACCTCCTGCGCTCTCATATATGTACTGAGAGGGCAATGAGGGTAACAAGTAGTGGAGCCATTCCAAAGACACGCCCGGTTAGCAACCCATTAACACACACAGGAGCTCACCCGTTAGCGAGAGAGAGAAGGGGGGGGCGATAAGAAACAGGAACGAGACGACCAACCCCCAGGAGTTTACACACGGGCAAGGAAAGCAACAGGGCTGACAAATAGAAGAACAGAGCTTGAAGCACACACGCTAGATAGCGCAGCAATTACAGAGGCAAACTAAGATGAATGAGGGGGTGGGGAGAGACAACGGGGAGCGGATGAACAGCGGATCTCCAGGCACCCACACACGCACAAAGAAAACAACAGCAATTGGAGAGGAGAGGACAACTTTAGAAAAGGCCCCTTTAAGAACTACACAGCCGATGCTAATGAGCGGACCAATGACCCGATCCAGGGTCAAAGCGCAGAGGCAGCCAGCCACATAAAAACGGACTCCCGGATCCAGCATTTTATACCCTGACGATGTCGGTAGTGTGGCCGACGAAAGCTTGGTTTTATAGATTAAACATTTGTGTTTATGATTTTATCCTGGTGATCACCTTATTTTATTTCACATTATGTGTATACCCAGGATTTGTGTTTTTAATACTATTAAGGACACACACACATATATATAACATTTAATCATCTTATAACTACATTAATGCAAGATCCCTCCATCTCCCTGAGGATTTTACTGAAATGCTATCCTTTGCAAGAAAGAAATGAAAACAATTTCTTTTCCATCAAATTAAGTTAAAATTGTAAAACAAACCAATCCTACAAGAGAAAATGTTTAATGGTGATAACAATTTTGTATGCTTGCACAACGTGTTCAGTTTTAATGGTCAGAGGCTTATGATGCCTCAGGACTGATTCATGTGTTCTTGATAAGCTTCTAGATATGAAAAAATAATTGTGGAATATACTAGGCAAGAAACTCTTGAATCCAAGGAAAAGGTAAACTTTAACTTGACAGATCTAGAGTTCATTAATATTAAAGAGATCCCTTGTATCCCCCAACAGAACATATATGCACAATCAATAGTTCAAATCATATATTGTATGAAGGTTTCAGAGTTTTGGAATGTGGCACACCTAGAGATATTGAAATAAGGCTGAAACAAAGGATAGAAATCCAATCCATGCAGTGGCGTAATTGCTACAGAGTATCATGAATTAATTAAGGCTCTTATATATATATATATTATGTGTTTTTTTAGCTAAACAATTTTGCAGCTTGTTAAAATGTACCTTTATTACATGAGATTTCATTTACACGCTATTTTATTATTCAAGATTATTTTAAATCTCATCTCAGCTTTTCTCATATCTGTTTATGAAGACTCCAAATTCAATTTATTTTAATTAACAACTTTCAGTCTATGTTTAATCAGATTGGAAATGATTGTCCAATCTCTTTCTACTATCAAATTACACAATGAACGCATTTTTCCGGCAATCCTCTTCTTTCTTACTTTAGAAAAATGTTAATCAAGCGGCCTGTTAGAATTTTGGCACAGACTTACCGTATGTCCTTGATGGTGGCTCGTTTGAGTGGATCAACCTGCAGCATATGCATCAGCAGGGTTGCTATTGAACGATTGAGGTATTCAGGAATGTAGAAGACGCCTCCCCGGATTTTTTTAAACAGGGTTGGAACATGATCATCATCAAAAGGAAGAGTCCCACAGAGAAGAGCATAAAGAATAACACCACAGCTCCAGATATCAACTTCTGGGCCAGCATACAGTCTGAAGAAAAATGTCATTAATCTATTTCTTAATATAATATTAAATAGTTCGGAAAAGAAGAGGAAAGCAGTGCTAAATAATTGCCTTCACTCAAAATGATGATGGGAAATTATGGAACCTTCCTCCTCCTTCTCTTGATCATTTTGTGTTGATACCTCTCCTCTTTGATCTCTCTTCCACCTTCTCCAAGTATCCCTGAATATATTCTTTAGCACTCCAAGTGGTCGATACTTAGCAACACAGTACAGAAGAATCCATTTGGTAATGTTTTGTCAGCTAAACTGAAATAAAATTTTTCTTCCTATTGGTCGACTCATGGTATCTGCCACCCTCTTTTTAGACTGTTGTTTCTTTTTTAAAAATAAAATCATGTAACTCTCATTACTTAAATTAATAACATAAACTATTTTTTTACTTCATTCCCCAAACATTTCAACATGCAATCATTTCCTTCATCTTTTACCTTCCGGAGATTACTTCTGGTGCTGCATAGTTGGGTGAGCCACAACTGGTTCTCAGGAATTCACCATCTGACATCATATTGGACAGCCCTAAAAAAAGAAAACTTTTTAGGTATTCACTATATAGATGAAGCAAAAAGGTGTCAGGCAGCGGAACTTTAACTGGGAAATTACAGTGAGAATAAAAATAGAATAGAATAGAATAGAATAGAATAGAATAGAATAGAATAGAATAGAATAGAATAGAATAGAATTACTAGCTATAAAATAACAAAACAATCCTAGAGCTATGCTACTTTTTTGCTTACGAACTAAACAATCACCAAGTAATACATTATGATTGATTATGGTTTGCTCCATGGTGTGGATGTCGGCTTCTTCTAGACATTTCCTTCATATATATGTATAGAATATCATTTTTTTCTACAGACTCTTGCATCCAAATTAATCCTACCTATAATTAAATTTTGCTCACAGAGACCTAGAGGAAAAAGTTCTGGATGTCCAGACAAACAGATCTAAAACTTTGTATTTTATACCTGACCTGGAATACTGTTATTTATCTAGCATGAAGATGAGCATTAGTTTAAGTCAGAGGTCTCCAACCTTTTGGGTACCAGGAACTGGTTCCATGGAGAAAAGATTTTCCACGGACCAGAGAGCACATGGGTTTGTGTGCTGCTTGCATCCCATAGATAGGGCTTTGCTTGTTTGTGCAGACCGGTTGCTTGCATGCCATGGCCCGGTATTGGTCCACGGACCGGGGGTTGGGGTGATATATTTCTATATTCTGCCATTTCTACTTGAAGGGGCAGTAAAATAGATGATAGGGGAAAAAATGAAAGTTATTTATTTTAAAAGTACACATACTAGTTTGTATTTAAGAAAACCAATTAGTTATTTTGCTCACTTAAGACTGGTGGAATGACAGACACTAGAGCAGATGATTTTGTAAATTTATTTTCTTCATTGGGGTGGGAAGGTAAAGAGAGATATGGGTAACACCTGCCACCAGTGATAATTCACCATGTATTTTCCAATGAAGTTGTTAACAATACCAATTTAGTTAACAATACCAAGTTCACCTGGCTGAATAATACTCCCCATAAAATAAATAATAGAAAAAATACTTGTTCTAAAAATGGCTCAGAATCTGCCTGGAATCTAACTTCCTAATTTTGTTGTTGTTCTATTGAAAACCTTTCAGCCAACCTAGAGTTTACTACCTTGGAGAAGATGAAGCCAATGTTTTCAATGAAAAGAGCTCTTCACAGGAATGCAGAGGCTTCTAATGGCGATGGAAAATAACACTGAATTCCCTGAAGGATGTTAACATTGACACCGTCCAGGGGGAATGGCTCATAGCCAATTACATTTTTGGAATGCTATTAGGGTCACATACCAAAATCAGCTATCTTGGCATTCATGTGTGCATCCAGCAGCACATTCTCCGGTTTCAAATCTCTGTGAACCACCATATGCCTATGGCAGTAATCCACAGCTGACAGAATTTGCTGGAAGAGGCGCCTGGCTTCAGCTTCTTCTACCTGCAACAACAACAACAACAACAACAAAAAAGCAAATAAATGCTCTAGAATTTTCTGTATGCCACTCAACAATGCAGGAATCATCTCTTGGATGAGCCACAAAACAAATTTAGAATTACAGTACGGTTAATAGCACCAAATCGAAAAACAACAAGAAGAGGAGTTATTCTTGCAGAGTTTCTGAAAATTAAGGTTGTCAAACCTCTCCTCACCTGATTCATTCTGGATATATCCTGTATGCATTAGATCACTTCACTAAGAGACCAGACTAGAGGAAATACTTAACTTTGTATTAAATTTAGATATATTTTTTTGTCACAAAGTCTAGCCCTTTTAACAGGGGTATATATTTTCTATGCATCCAGGAAACTGAAGGAACAGTGAGAAATTGTCCACATGAGTGAGTCAACTCTATCCATTTTGCAGCATTGCTTGCATGCACACATCAGAACAAGCCTGGTGCTCCTACAGCTCGGTTCCTGTCACATTTTATGTTAAAAAAAAACTAATGTAAATTTTCAATATGAGCTCTCCATTCATTTTATATGTGGAAATAATAATAAAAAAAAATTACATCCTCCAGTATTCTGAAGTAGAACTAGTAGACGAAGAATAGAATGAACAGAGTACCATAATGGTAGAAAAGACTATTGCACACTGGTCTATAGGTGTGTGAGTTCACATTTTAAAAACATGTTATTACACATAAACCCCAGAAGCAATACCCAAAGGGTGGAGTGTCAGCAAAGGTTGGTTTAAGTCAATTTTTTCTAAATGATGCATCTGCAAAGAGAAGTTAATTTTCACACAAGAGGCAT